ACCACTTATATGGGATTAAAAATTTTTTTTATTGATTTTTTTTTTTTTTTTTTTTTTTTTTTTTTTAGAGAGAGAGAGAGAGAGGAAGGGAGAGGGATACAGAGATAGAAACATCAATGTGAGAGAAACATCAATTGGCTGCCTCCTGCATGGGGATCGAGCCGGACACCTGGGCGTGTGCCCTGACCGGGAATTGAACCAGTGACCTCTTGGTTCATGGGTTGACGCTCAACCACTGAGCCACACCAGCTGGGCTTGATATGGAATTTAAATGTCGGGCATCCCCAAAAGCAAAGCAGACACTCATCCGATGTCCCCGCCCTCCCCCTGACTTTTCCCTCCGCCTCTCTCCTTGCAGCCTGCGGGAGCTCTGAGGCCTCCGCTTACCTGGACGAGCTGCGTTTGGCTGTGGCTTGGAACCGCGTGGACATTGCCCAGAGCGAACTCTTCCGGGGTGACATCCAGTGGCGGGTGAGGGGTCGGAACCGGGGCTGGGGGTCCCGACAAGGGGAGGCACTTGACATGTGGCCTGTCCATCCGCTTCTTATTGTCCAGTGTCCGCATCCTGTTCCCTCTCCATCCACCACTCAATTCTGTACCCCAATCTCTGGCCCTTCACCTCTGACCACACCTGGCCTCCAGCCTGCCCCTGCTCATCTCTCCCCCCCCCGTTCATCCCGCCCCTGCCAGTCCGTCCACCTGGAGGCCTCGCTCATGGACGCCCTCCTGAATGACCGGCCGGAGTTCGTGCGCCTGCTCATCTCGCGCGGCCTCAGCCTGGGCCACTTCCTGACCCCGACGCGCCTGGCCCAGCTCTACAGCGCGGCGCCCCCCAGCTCGCTCATCCGCAGCCTCCTGGACCAGGCGGCCCACGCTTCGGGCGCCAAAACCCCAGCCCTGAAGCCCTCCGCCGAGCCCCGGCTCCCCGACGTGGGGCGGGTGCTCCGGATGCTGCTTGGGGAGATGTGCGCGCCGAGGTACCGCGCCTGGGCCGCGGGGGATCCCCACCGCGACCACGGCTGCAGGGACAGCGACCACGGCTGCCCCGAGAGCGTAAGGACCCGGGGATGCTGGTGGGGGAGACCCAGAGGGCCTGGGGGTGTGGCTACGCGGGGAGGGGGTGGGGCTACGCGGGGAGGGGGTGTGGCTACCCGGGGAGGGGTGTGGCTACGCTGGGAGGGGTGTGGCTACACGGGAGGGGGTGTGGCTACGCGGGGAGGGGTGTGGCCAGCTGACGGTGTGTGATGGGACTGGGGCAGAGGCCGATGGGGGCGGGGCCAGGGCGGTGTTGGGGGCGGGACCAGGCCGGCGTCGGGGCGGGGCCACACCTCACCACGCCCCGTTGCCTGCAGTCCCAGCTGCTCTGCCGCAGGGCCCCCTCGGAGCTCATGCTGGACGCGGTGCTCGGGCAGACCCCCTGGAGCGACCTGTTTCTCTGGGCGCTGCTCCTGAACAGGGCGCAGATGGCCTTGTACTTCTGGGAGATCGTGAGTGCTGCCTTGGTCGCTGATTCTGCTCTCCGCGTCCCTGCCCTTCGGTTCTCCCAGACTCCGGTGTCCCCCGTGATCTCTGATGTCACCCTATTCCTGGTGTATGACTCCAGCTGCTGCTGCTGCTGCCTCCCCTTCCTCTTCCCCCCCCGCCCCGCCCCCAATATGTCATGCATTTCTTGTAACTGGCCTTTTCTGTTAACACTATATATTGGGCCTTTCTCTTGTGCATACATGGGAATTAACCTCTTGCTTTCAAAATGTCTGTACAAAGAAGTTAGATGTTATTCGGTAGCCAACGGGCGTCATTTAAACATTGGTACACTTGCAATTTATTTTTATTTTTAAAAAAATATATATTTTTAATTGATTTCAGAGATGAAGGGAGAGGGAGAGAAACATCAATGATGAGACAGAATCATTGATCGGCTGCCTCCTGCACGCCCCACACTGGGGATAGAGCCCGCAACCCGGGCACGTGCCCTGACTGGGAATCGAACTGTGACCTCCTGGCTCATAGGTTGACACTCAACCACTGAGCCATGCCAGCCGGGCAGTACACTTGCAATTTAGATGCCTTGTTGTAGCTGCAATGGAGAAGGAGCAAGACTAGGTAGCGACAAGAAAGCCAGGTAAGAAGCCACGCTGGGGCTCTCCAGGCAGCCGAGGTGAGGGCCCGACTACAGCAGGTGGGATAGAGGTGTCGGGACACATTTGGGAAGTTGCAAGCCTAAAAAATAAATAAAAAAACTTGTGGGAGTTAAATCGGATCTAAGATAGAGCTTATTTTTATGCCTATATGCGTTAGAAATATCTTTTTTAAAAAAATATATTTTATTGCTTTTTTACAGAGAGAAAGGGAGAGAGATAGTCAGAAACATCGATGCGAGAGAAACATCGACCAGCTGCCTCCTGCACATCTCCCACTGGGGATGTGCCCGCAACCCAGGCACATGCCCCTGACCGGAATCGAACCTGGGACCCCTCAGTCCGCAGGCTGACGCTCTATCCACTGAGCCAAACCGGTTTCGGCCGAAATATCTTGACAGGACTCTTCAGCCAATCAGGTCAGGGGGTGAATACAGACTTTATTTATTTATTTTTTAATCATCACCCAAGGACATTTTTCCATTGATTTTTAGGGAGAGTGGAAGAGGAAGGGAAAGACAGAGAGAAACACATCGATTGGTTGCCTCCTGCACGAGCCTCTCCCCGGCCTCGATCGTGCACCCGTGGGGTCCGGGATTGCGAGAGGGCGCAGGCCAGGCTGAGGGACCCCAACAGTGCACGAATTCGTGTACTGAGTCTCTAGTTGTTATATATAAGTGTTTAATCCTACATGTTAATCCTACTGAGGTTCCTTGTGTGAGTCACTTCTCTCTCTCCTGCTGTTTTCAAGATTCTTTGTTTTTGACTTTCAACAATTTGATTTCTTTCTCAGTGTGGATTTCTTTGAATTTTCCTCTGTGGAATGCCTTGATCTTCTTGGATGCGTAAATTCATGTATTTCATCAAATTTGGGAAGTGTTAGGCCATCTTATCTTCAAACGTTCTTTTGTTTCTTTCTGCCTATCCTCCCCTTTTGGGAATCCCACTATGCATATATTGGTATGTCTTATGGTGTCCTACAGGCCTCTCAGGGCTTGTTAGTTTTTTGTTCTTTTTTCCTTATGTGCCTCCAACTGTGTAATCTCCATTGATTTTTCTTCAAGTTCACAAATTCTCTTCTGCCTCCTCAGAGCTGCCGTTGAGCCTTTCTGGTGAATTTTTCATGTCAGTCATTGCACCTTTCTGCTCCAGAATTTCTTATTTGCTTACTTTTATTATTATTATTATTATTTCTCTCTCTTTATTCATATTCTCTACTTGATATGACATCATTTACCTGGGTTCTCTCAGTTCCTTTTTCATAATTTCCGTTAGCTCTTTAAGCGTATTTAAGACAGTTGATTTAAAGTGTCTATCTATTCACTGAGTTTCCTTAGGGACAGTTTTTATTAATTTCTCTTTTCTTGTGAATGAGCCACACTTTGTTTCTTTGCACGCCCCATAATTTTTTTGTTGGAAACTGGAATTTTTAATATTATTATAAAGTGGCCATTCTGGATATCAGCTTACCTCCTCCCTCCAGGGTTTCTCATTGCTTCTTCTTCTGGCTTGTTGGTTTAGTGACCTTTCTAAGCTATTTTAAAATATATATATATATTATTGATTTTTTACAGAGAGGAAAGGAGAGGGGTAGAGAGTTAGAAACATTGAAGAGAGAGAAACATCGATGAGCTGCCTAATGTGGATGTGCCCGCAACCAAGATACATGCCCCTGACCGGAACCGAACCTGGGACCCTTCAGTCCGCAGGTGGACGCTCCATCCACTGAGCCAAACCGGCCAGGGCTAAGCTATTTTGTAAAGTCTGTATTCTTTGTCATGTGCGGCCACTGAAGTCCTTGTTCTGTTAGCTCAGTGGTCAACTGGTGACTTGAGATTTCCTTAAATGCTTGGGGGCGGGGCGTGGAGTTGAGGTGGAGAGAGAAACCCACACCCTCCCAGCCTGCAGATCCACTCCGTGTGGGAGCTGTCTTTCAACGCACAGGCAGACTGTTTACACTTCTACTTTATCTGTCGCTTCCGGCTTTGGTTGCCTAAAGGTCAGCCTGAAGTGGAAGCTCGGGGCTTTCTCTAGTCATTTCCGGGCAGGCATCCAGGCTTGTCAATGCCTGTAGCCTTCTAAGCCCCTTGGAACACACAGGAGCTTTATAAACCCCGAGTCCCCCCAGGTTCTCCCTCCCCAGCCACTTCCCTCCCCAGCTGTTCGGTATGTCTATTACTACCTGGGCTGCTATTCTTTTGTCTTTTTTTTTGTTCTTGAGTTGTAAGAGGGCCGCTCTTTATTTTTAAATGCTTTCAAACACCACCTGGGAAGCCGCTTCTGTCCTGGGGAAGTTCCAAGGACAGGGGAACAAAGGCAAGCTCTTGAGCTGTTTTCTTCAGGGAGCCACACACAACCACACGCACAACCACAGTTACGTAAGAGGAAGATCTGAATTCCTGCCCTAACCGGTTTGGCTCAGTGGATAGAGCGTCGGCCTGCGGACTGAAGGGTCCCAGGTTCGATTCCGGTCAAGGGCATGTGCCTTGGTTGCGGGCACATCCCCAGTAGGGGGTGTGCAGGAGGCAGCTGATCGATGTTTCTCTCTCATCGATGTTTCTAACTCTCTATCCCTCTCCCTTCCTCTCTGTAAAAAAATCAATAAAATATATTTAAAAAAATAAAAATAAAAATCATCATTCTCCCCTTTAAAAAAAAAAAGATCTGAATTGCTCCTTCTGGTACCCCAAACCCTTCAGGCGCCACCGAGCTGGGGAGTTGGCGATGGTAAGCAGGTTAGTTAAAATGTCACAGTGCTCTTTCTAAATATATATATAGATTTCAGAGAGGAAGGGAGAGGGACAGAGATAGAAACATCCATGATGAGAGAGAATCATTGATCGGCTGCCTCCTGCATGCCCCACACTGGGGATGGAGCCTGCAACCCAGGCATGTGCCCTTGACCTGGAATCGAACTGTGACCTCCCGGTTCACAGGCCGAAGCTCAACCACTGAGCCATGGCTTACTGAAATTTAACAGTTTCGTTCTTCATTAAGCATTTTCCTATTTGTTGTACGTTTTATATTAGGTTCCAGAATTTTTTTAAAAAAGTGGATTCTGACAGTTTTGGCCAGCTTGTTTGTTGCTTTTGTGGAGGGATGGCGTTTGAAGCTCTCTACCCGGCATTTTGGGTGACATCTCCAGCTGCTCCCCGGCCTGTCCTTAATCTCTGAGGCCATTCTAACCAGCCCAGCCCCTGCTCTCTGAACGCTCTGACACAGTGGTTCTCAACCTTCCTGATGCCGCGACCCTTCAATACAGTTCCTCATGTTGTGGTGACCCCCAACCATAAAATTATTTTCGTTGCTACTTCATCACTGTAATTTTGCTACTGTTATGAATCGTCATGTAAATATCTGATCTGCAGGATGTCTTTTCATTGTTACAAATTGAACATAATGAAAGCATAGTGATTAATCACAAAAACAATGTGTAATTATATATGTGTTTTCCGATGGTCTTAGGTGACCCCTGTGAAAGGGTCGTTCGACCCCCAAAGGGGTCGCCACCCACAGGTTGAGAACCGCTGTTCTGACGTCTGACCTTTTCACCTGGTGTCCAGTTTCTTCCAGATCCACCCACGAACATCCCTTTATCCGTGGCCTCTGTTGACCCCGGTTAATTTCTGAACTCTGGCTTTGTCCCTTCCCTTGATCACAGGCTTGCTGCCCCCTCCTCACCCTCGGACCCTGTCCACCACCTCTCTCTCTGTCTCTCCAGGGCTCCAACGCCGTGGCCTCGGCTCTAGGGGCCTGTTTGCTGCTCCGGGTGCTGGCGCGCCTGGAGTCCGAGGCTGAGGAGGCAGCGCACAGGAAGGAGCTGGCAGCCAAGTTTGAGGGGCTGGGTGTTGGTGCGTGGGGCAAGGGTGCCTGGGGGCAGGGGTCCAGGGCTGCGGTGACGGGGGTCTGTGCGTCTCCCTGCTCCTCTCATAACCCTCTCCCTCCCCGCCAACCCCTCATCTCTCCGCTCACACGGTCTCCTTACTCCTTGTTCTGCCTCTCACTGACCCTCCCGCTCCCAGACCTCTTTGGCGAATGCCACCGCAGCAGCGAGGACCGGGCTGCCCACCTGCTCCTGCGGCGCTGCCCGTTCTGGGGGGATGCCACCTGCCTGCAGCTCGCCATGCAGGCCGATGCCCGCGCCTTCTTTGCCCAGGATGGAGTACAGGTGAGCGTCAGAGGCCGGCCTCCCAAACCAGTGGTCGGCAAGCTCACTAGTCCACAGAGCCAAATAGCAACAGTGCAACGATTGAAATTTCTTTTGAGAGCCACATTTTTATAAACTTAAACTATATAGGTAGGTACATTGTCATTAACTTCATTAGGGTACTCCCAAGGCTTAGGAAGAGCCACACTCAAGGGGCCAAAGAGCCGCAGGTGGCTCGCGAGCCGCAGTTTGCCGACCACGGTCCCAAACAGACCCTTCGACGCCCCGGGGGCCGTGCAGGATGA